TGACCGGGGGGGGGGGAAGAATCAAGGTTTTCTTAATTAATTAAGGCCTAACATTAATAAATAAATAAACAAACAAATAAATAAAAATCACCATTCCTAGAGACTAAAAAACCATGGAAAAACAGAATAATACGCCACTCAGATGAATCTACCTAGGGCATCCCATTCTCAAACCAGTTTTTCTTTTGTTTCCCCAGACCGTTATTTCTAGGGCACATTACCTTCTGTACCACATTCTCTTTCTGTAGCTGACTCTGTCTTAGTTTCTTTAACAGCACCAGTCGAGCTTCTTCCAGTCGCAGCTCATCCCTCAGCTGCTTGATGAGCTGCTGCCGTTCCTCAATGCCTTTCCCCTAAGGAAACATGGAGACTATCAGCTATGGTAGCAGGTGCCCAGAATCCCTTCCTGCAAGATGATCCCTTCTTTTAGGTCTGAAACCTTCATCTTCCACAAGCAGCAGGATTAGTGATGGGACTGTTATCTTTGTGTTCTTAAGGTCTGGCACAGTGCCTGGTATTCAGTAGGTATAGTAAGTCCTAACTTAACATCATCAATAGGGTCTTGGAAACTAACTTTAAGCAAAATAATTTATAATGGAACCAATTTTGCCATAGGCTAACTAATATAAACAAGAGTTGAGTTCTTATGACATATTTCTGGTCATAAAAACATCACCAAATTTCTAAATAAAGACCAAAACATTTCTAATATTAAACACTAAAATAAATGTAAGCTATACATATATTTAAGAAAGACTAATAAAAACAAGTAAGGTAATTATTTTCCAACTCATTTATTCCAGTTCAGGATTGCGAGTGGCTGGAGCCTATCCTGGCAGCTCAGGACCCAAGGAGGGAGCTGACCCTGCACACGACACTGCACACTCAAACCCATACCCACATCCCACTCAGACTGACAACTGAGCCACACCATTTAACCTAATGTGCACATCTCTGGGATATGGAAGGAAACCAGAGTACCCAGCGAAAACACACACAGACATGGGAAGGACAAGTGAACTCTACACAGATATTGGCCCGGGCTGGGAATATTCATTCCCCCCCTCATCAACAGTGTAAGAAAATGATGTTGAATGAAACATTATTCAAGAACTTGCTGCACTCAAAAATACTTATAGAATGAAAGGAGAGACCACATATAAATGCTAATCAACCAGATTCCTGGCAAAATGTAAGAATGACCAAAGGGAGACAACTGCTTTCCTTTAAAACAATGTTTTTAAATCTCTTTAAGCCATGTTTCCTCTAGATATATACTTAAAAATTTAGGAATCTCTCCATATTCTAAAGCCCAAGGCAGAGTGTAGAAGGTATCCTTCCAGCTAACAGTTTACTTTATATAACTTGAATTAGGAAGTTTTGTTTTCATTTTCCAAAGATAAATTATATTGACTATGCTTTTTCAAACTATTTTCTCCACTTGAGTCTAATAGTTCCCTTAAGGTTGAGAATCATTTATAAAGTGTCATCAATGGGTAGTTATTTAGATTTAAAAAGTAAACCATAAAAATAACAGAAATGGGACTCTTACAGAACTAAAGAGAATAGGAGGAGTAAGAAAAACATTTTTCTTTTTCTTTTTTTTCCTTCTTTTTTTTACCTTAAACATCTCTAGGTTGGCTGCTTTGAGTCTTTCTTCCATTCGGGAGCTGGAACGGGGACTGGAAGCCTCATTATCAGATAAAACAATGATGTCTGGGGAGGGAGTTAGCCTTCCTCTGTCTGGCTCACTAACAAGAAAAGAAAAAAATTAAGATATGTCTAGCAGTGAAAGTTCACAGAAAAGTTATTAAGACTTCAAGGGAACTTATGTCTGTCCTGATTCATCCACGGGAAGACAGAGAGCTCAAATCCTAGGATAAAGAGGACACTAAAATAAGTGATAAAACCTCAGCAAAAGTACTTTTCCTGTCTAAATTCCTCACAGAGAATGCAGAGACAAAGACACAGGCTTCAGAAATGGAAACAACAATGTTCTCATCACACTGATTAAATCAAAATTCTCAATGTTCTCCCTATACCACACTCCTTTGGGTTGTTTCATTAGTTACGTAGGGGCAAGAAGAAAATGGCAAACTTGACGGGAAGAAGGGCAAAGGCAGTAAAGCCTAGTTGCCCACCCCAGGTACAGCTGATATGTTGCTAAGGAGGCAGCTCATTATACCAGTAACAACATGGTCCTGGTTATCTGAGGACTTACAAGAAAGGAGATTATATCACAACTCCATAATAGTCTACCCTTTCAAGAGTTAAGGCAAAAGAAGATAGTGTTCTCACTGGCTTGAGGGAACAGAAAAGACTTCTGGAGGACACTCCAGATGTAAATATATATGAAATTTGCATCTACTTGTCAGAGTTCTGTTTAGCACCTTTCCTCAGAAAGAAACTGTCTAGAAATGAATTTGAAATCTAAATCTTCCACACTGGTTTCCCTGGAGCTTATTATCAAACAACTCTAGTTCTGGTCTTTGAGGGGCTTGCCTTAAAGGAATCATACTTGTTTCACTAAGATGATGAAAAATGGCACTCACCACGTAAGACCTGGATAATAAGAATCCTGGAAATTCTAATTGACTTAGGTACCCAAATCAATGACCATTATCTTTCTTCCTCCTCTCCTCTACTTTCTTAACTCAAAGATACCTTCCCAGACCTTCCTTCCTTGAGTTCTTCACTGTAGTTGGAGTACACAAGTCTAAGCAATGTGCTCTTAGGTCTTATTTAAACATGTAACTCAGCCCGACCGGGCGTGTCGACCTAGGATCCAGGCGATTGGGGTTCGATTCCCGGTCAGGGCACATGCCCGGGTTGCGGGCTCCATCAATGACTCTCTCATCATGGATGTTTCTATATCTCTCTCTCCCTCTCCTGTCCTCTCTCTGAAATCAATAAAGATATGTTTAAAATAAAATAAAATAAACATATAACTCAAACTCTTAATATACCCAGACCTTTAGTTCTGAAAGCTTCTCTACCACTTCTCAGGGCTTGACATGTGCCTTGTAAACTAGACAACCAGGATCGCTGGGATAGGCATTCAATTTCTCTACAGGGCAAAACTGAGTTATAAAAAAATCAACCAAATTTAGCAGAGGAAACAGAATAAGAGGACAGAGTAATATGAATGACTTATCTTGCCCAGCCAGCGCGGCTCAGTGGTTGAACACTGACCTATGAACCAGGAGGTCACAGTTTGATTCCCGGTCAGGGCACATGCCCGGGGTTGTGGGCTCGATCCCCAGTGGGGGGGGTGCGGGAGGCAGCCGATCAATGACTCTCATCATTGACGTTTCTCTCTCTCTCCCTTCCTCTCTCTGAAATCAATGAAAAAAACATTAAAAAAGAAGAAAAAATCTTGGGCCCTGGCTGGTGTGGCTCAGTTGGTTGGAGCACTGTCCCGTACACCAGAAGGTGGTGGGTTCAGTTCCCAGTCAGGGCACATACCCGGTTGCGGGTCCAGTTGGGTTGCATGCAGGAGGAAGGCAACTGATTGATATTTCTCTTTCTTCTCCCCCCTTCCTCTTCGTCTCAAATCAATAAAAAATAAAAGTAAAAAATTGCTTAAAAAAAAAGGATGACTATCTTGATAATTATCCAATTCTTCTGGATTACTCTATAACCACTAGTTAAAGACATAGCAAGCTGAGAATGTGGGTTATAGAAAAAGAAGCCACTAGAGCAGGGGTGGGGAACCTTTTTTCTGCCAAGGGCCATTTGGATATTTATAACATCATTTGAGGGCCATACAAAATTATCAACTTGAAAAGTAGCCTGCTATATTTGGACAAACATTTAATTAACTCACCCCTAATGTGATGGCTGGAACTGCTTCTCTCTGGTGAGGCCTTGGCAGGGCCAGACCAAATGATTTTGCGGGCTATATATGGCCCATGGGCTTGGACATTCCCCACCCCTGCACTAGAGGGGAAAAAGAATGTTTCCTTCTCTAATCCCAAGTTCCTGGAGTAATGGTCAGGCCTAAACAAAGTGTTTGAATTCATTTTTTTTTTTGGTGGCTGTCATTTCTATATTCCTTCATCTCCCCACCATCCCTAACATTGACATGGGTGAACAATTTTGAGCTCTGGTAGATTTCTACTACTTCTACTTGATTCCCCAATGTTTACTGCATCAATAGTCAGAAGCTCTTTCCATTCTGGTCCTTGCTGGATATATGCACCACATATTTCTAAGTTAAGAAATTGTTACTTGCTCAAATGAGTGCCACCTACCTACTGCTTAGGGATTGCCCAGCAACAAGACAGGCAGAGACATTCCTGAATGGAGATTTTGCAATTGAGTGACATCTATCAGGAAGTTGTATCTGAGAACAACCCTAAATGGTATTTTATTCCCAGATATAATCAGACCCACAATAGCTAGACAGCACAGGTAAGATAAAGTTGAAGTCAAATTTCATACCTCAAATTTTTAATTAACTTTTGACTTGGGGTTCCGGCCTCATTTATTAAACTTTCCAGGGATAGAAATGGCCACTTTCCCCAACAAATATAATAAACAATATTCTATGTTCCTAAGTATGAAATGCTACGAGTTAGAGAGAGAGTATTAAAAGCTGGACTTGCTGCTGACATCACTTGTGACTCAGACTGGCAGATGCCCAGAAGCTATAAAATTCCTAACCCTTAACCCCACAGTAAAAACAACTAAATAGAAAGAAAACTGTCATGTCTTTCTAGCATTACAAAATATTAGCAGTACTTTTCATTTATACCTTACTTCATAGTAGATATAACTTGCTCAAATGATTAAAAAAAAAAGGCAATTATGATATGGCTATGTCAAGAGCATTTCCTTCTTTCTGCTTTTTATCTTACTCATTCTTATAAAAACCTTGGGGCTAAGTGGAAATATCTGGTCAGTATATCTGGTGAAGAGACATGGGCCAATAGGGCCTACTTTTCTATGTAGAATGGGATTCTAGTTGGTTTACATCAGGCCTCTTTCCCTGGAGACCATCAAAAAAACTCCTAGTTTATAGAGGATCAAGTTCCAAAAGGTCATCCCTCTAAAATAAAATTAAAAGCAATGGTAGGGTTTTCAGGGTAGTCTGGCTTTTTAATACAGAATTTATCTGTGACACTGTATAATTCCAATAGCACTAATGAGATCTTACCAAAACATGTAACAATGTTTCTATGAAAAATGCATTTTCAGTTTCAATTTGGGATGTTGAGAAATCCACCTAACATTTTTCCTCTTCTCTTGCCCCAGTGAAATAGAATTAGTCACTAGCTCCAGAAGGGTAAGAGTGATTACGGGGCAAATGGGTTGCTCAGATACATGATCTCATTCACCCACATTGTTTTTCCCCCAAAGGATCTAAGGATTGACCTCTTTTCATAATATTTTGCTGACACTACCTATAGCTTCCAAGGATTTTTTCCTCTTCCAGGACCACTAAGGAATTTATCTGAAATTTCCTAAGGCTCCTTTTGTTTTGTTTTTTAATGTTTTTTTTTTTTTTTTTAGAGCTAAAC